GCTATTCTCCATCCCAGAAGCTCTTCGGTCGAGACCTTCGTCTGCCTTGTGACCGCCTGTTTAGTCGCCCTACGGATGCGCCTTCATCGCCTGAGGAACACATCCAAGATGCCCAGGCCCGGTTTGAGGGGATGCACCGTTCTGCACGAAAGCGAGTCAACTTGGCGACGGAGAAAATGAAGACCAGATGCGACACAAGAGCTACTAGACAGAGATCCAACAAAGGAGACAAGGTGTGGTTGTGGAACCCGATTCAACGAAAAGGACTGAGTCCTAAATTACAGTCACCTTCGGATGGTCCATATACAGTGCTGAACACGAATGACGTCGTGGTTCGGATCCGTGAGTCTTTGAACTCTTACGACAGGTTAGCTTATTACTATGGCCATAGTACGTAATGTAAATAATTGTAAATAGTATAAGACCATGGTCCTTTTTGTTTTAAATGTGTATTTGATTTGATTGTATTTGTATTTGATTTTTGTATTTGATTTTTGTATTTATTGTATTTGTATTTTTTGTATTGTATTTGATAGCATTTGATTTGTTAAGTTAGTTATTGCATTTATTGTTATATTGTTTGATATTGTAATGTAATGTTTATGCCTCAGTTGCATTTATGCCACAGTTGTAAGTTTAGCTTCCTGTCCAGGGATTGTACTGCCCGGGACGTGCAGTCCTTGGGAAGGGGGCAGTGTTACGAATTTGGTATTTAAAAAGCTAATGTTAGTTCAATTATAAATTAAATGGTTTTATTTCTCGCGCAGTGCAGCGCGTGACGAATATTAAAAGAAAGCTAAGCCGGAAAAATTAAAATACAAGAGCGCGTGCGTTAAATAAATAAATATCTCTTTTTGATTTCGAGAAAGTACTGGAAAATTCTAGCGCGTGATTTTAAAATCTTATAAAAGGAGGAAAACATCTCAGTTTGTAGTAGTTGCTTAGTTTGTTTGTTGTTTAGAAAACTGCTGTTGTTGATTGTAGCGAATTCGCGGATTAGCGTTCTTTAGCTGTTTTGAATTACGTTCTATTGACATTTGAGTAGTTAAAAGATAACTACTGTGAGATATTGTAATACTGCATGATAATTTGAGAAAATTTAAGCATTTTGTTGTGATAATAAAAAATTTTTGTTCATTTTTCATCGGACTTGTGCATTCATTTCATAACGAACCCGTACGCACGCAACAATACTATTACTTAAATTAATGATTATACTCTTCATATTATTAATCATATATGCCATGTTGACATCAAAATAATATTTTTTTTTCATACAGGTGCTTATTACTGAAATGATGTTACATATTACTAGCAAGCAATTCAAAAATAAGATATGTACAGTACAATTTTACTTGCGCATTGGAAATACTGTACAAATAAATAATTCAATACAATGATTCCGTACGATTACTCATGAATAATTCAATATTATGATTCTATACGATTATTCAAATGCAATGATTCAATACAACAATTCTATGCGCTTATTAGAACAAAAATCTATATAATTATTCAAAATTTCAATATTATTGCTCAAATTAATAAAAATACCATTTATATTATAAACCTCACTACCCAAGTGACACAAACATTTAAATTACACCATTAATTAATCATTACAGCAATGATATTACATGTTACTTGAAAGCAGTTAATTATAAATTATGTACTGTACAGTTTTACCTTGCACACTGAATATTATAAATAATGTAATGATGCAATACAGTGATATTATACTGCTTCTTTAGACCATGTACCAAAGCAATAATTATATGCAGTGACTGAAGTATAAAGATTACGATACAAGTATTCAGTGATTTAATATATATATTCAGATTTGTAGTAATACTATATATGTTATTAATAACATTTAAATATATGGGTATAGTCATTTAAGTACCTATTATAGTATTGATGTTACATTTACTTGTAAAGAAATCAATTGTTAAATATGTACAGTACAGTATAACTTGCACTTTATTTGTTGATTACAATTCAGTGATTCAATAGAATGATTCTTTGTGATTACTAAAATATAATAATTTAGTACAGTGATTCTATGCATTTACTAAGTACAATGATTAATCATACCATACCAGTTAACACAATGATGCTATAAAACAATACAATTACTCTTATTCAATATGATTACTCTATTTAGTAACAGAACTATTCCGCTATCAATTATACTAGTTAGGTAAACATTAAAAGTAATAACCTTATCATCTATACGATCATCAATACGATTACTCTATTACAATGTTTCAAAACTATGATACAATAAATTAATACTATACACAATTTCTCTGATACAAAACGATTACTGTACTAAAATAATTATTCAGTATAAATGTAGCCGAGGGAGTCCACATAAAGGGATAATTCTTAGTTTTTATTTGCATTAGTTTTAGCACAGTTCAAGATAGTTTATTTTATGATATACTTTAGAGACATATATAAAATTAGATTTGACACAGGTCAGTGCCGAGGTCCATAAGTTTATTAACAATTTTGTTAATCTTTCGTACTGCATGCTTGTTATTAATCATGAACCTGCTAAATGCTTGCTCATTCGTTGGCGGGATCGGCAGGTGCAAATCAGTTGTTAGTGGGCAGTTAGCTACATAATGTTCGGGTGTGCCCAATTCACCGCAAATGCACTGTGCCGTATTTGTAATGCCAAACCTTTCAAAATATACAGGAAAAGGACCGTGTCCCGTTATATACCGTACAAGTTGAGCATGTATTATGAGGCGATCATAAGTTACTGTGGGAATATGATAATAAACACGACGTCCTGTGTCGTCAGAGTTCCACTCTTCCTGCCACAGGGATTTGATTTTTTGCGTAAGATTTTTCTTTAGCCAGGAAATTGGCCAAGGTATCTTAATTTGTTCAGCATTTATGTTTTGCGCCGCTTCTTTGGCTAGCTGATCCGCCAGCTCGTTTCCTGTTTGGCCAGCATGGGCCTTTATCCATTGCAGCTTTACGTTTAAATGACTGTTGTCATGTAATTTCGACTGTATGTCTGCTATGAGCGGGGAACAGTGCACTGGATTTAAAAGTGCATGCAGAGAGACGATAAGCTATCTGTCAATATGAAGCTTCCATTATGTTGCTCCTGTATGATGTGGGTTAGTGCCCGGTCAATTGCTAACACCTCACTCTGGAACACACTATTATTGGTGTCCAGGTGACCTTTCCAAAGTGTTAGCGTGTCCAGGTTTCGCAGGGCTATGTAGGCACAGCCTGTGTTATCATCTATTTGGGAGCCATCTGTATAATATACTAAATCAGCATCCGTTATGTTGGTATTTTGCTTGAGATTAATGTTCACCCCTTTTCCCTGTTTCGCTGGATGATCACATAGCCGTATCAACTTCTTCTCATATTCCGCTGGGAAATAATTATCCTCATGGAGGGTTGCTGGTTGGCCTAATTGGGCGACTGTTTGATAAGTCGCTTCTTTTTCCACACTAAGATGCAACGGTGGCAGACCGGTCAATACACATAGTGCTTTAGTTGGGGAAGTACGAAATGCCTTGGTAATATTCAGTAAGAACGGTCGTTGTATGCTTAAGAGATGTTTTATCTTGCGACCTTGCATAGGTAATGACCAAACTGCCGCCCCGTATGTAACAATTTTTTCAATTACTGTTTTATACAGTACCTTCTGTATGTACGGGTTAAGGCCCCATTCGTGACCTTTCATAAACTTAAGTTGCTGAGCTATTCCCAGCGTCTTCTTCTTCAGTTCCATAATATGTGGTATCCAATTTAGTTTGATATCAAATACTATTCCTAGGTATTTCAGTTCTTTAACAATTCGAAGTCGATGATTATTCAAAGTTATTTTTGGTTGTCTTGCGAGCGTACCTCCCTTTTTGGGAACTAGAAGTATTTGTGACTTTGCTTCAGATATCTTGAGTTTAATTTCTGCACATCTCTGATGAAATAGCGAGCAGGATTCTTGGGCGTTGGTCTGAAGTTGTTCTCTTGTTCTACCCCGAACGATGAGTGCAGTATCATCGGCATACGCAATGATGCGCGTGTGCTCTGGCCACGCATTGGTTAATATACCATTGAATGTTATATTCCAAAGAAACGGCCCAGCACACGAGCCTTGCGGGCATCCTTGATTTTGATTTTGCACTACCATACCACTATTATGGGGTACTATTAGCAATCGGTCAGAAAGGTAGTGTTCCAAAGTAAGATAGATATTTCTTGGGCATTTACTTAGGCGCAGGGCTTGAAGAACCGCTGGCCACCACAGCGTGTCAAAAGCGCTTTTTAAGTCGATGGAAATAAACGCTGTGTGATAGCCAGCAGACCTATTTTCTAGGATTTGATTCTTAACTTCTGTAAGCGCATGCAAAGTAGACTGTCCTGGACTAAACCCATATTGTATTGGGCTTAAGTATTTCGTAACATATAGATGATGCCGCAATCTTGTCATGATCAGCTTTTCATAAACCTTCCCCAAAGCTGAAAGTAGACATATTGGACGGTACGACTCTGGAGACGTTGGATCTTTATTCTTTTTCAAAAATAAGACCACTTGCCCAATTTTGAAGCTGTTAGGGAATGTCCCCGTTTGCAGGAGCTTATTGAAGAGTGATTGAAATAGAGTTACATTAGTGCTTATAATTGCTTTAATAATTCGGTAGTCAATACCATCCGGTCCTGGTGCTCTGCGCTGGGGAAGCTGGCGCAGCACTTGCTGAATCTCCCTGATTGTGAAGTAAGGATCATTTGATGTAGCAATTTCTGAGGGCTGGTTCCTGATTGTGGTCTGTTCTAATGTGTCTTCTTGCGGATTGTCTGTGGTGAAGACTGCTGACATGATTGCCTTTATTGTATCTTCTGTATATTGGCCAGTACTATTGGGTGTTGGCAATATATGTAAGGTGGCTGGTTTAAAAAGTTTTCCTGCCGCAATCCTGTGGTGGAGTCCATAGGTGGTGGTTGTTTCTGTACAAAACTTTCTCCAGCTGCTAATTTTTGCATCTAAGATCATGCGTTTGTAATACGCTCGCTCTTGTTGGTAGATCATTAGTGTTTGTGGATTTTAGTTGCTGCCTACGTTCTTGTTTGAGGCGTCGGCGCAGAGCACGACATTTTTGCTGTTGAGTACGCAGTGTACCATTCCACCAATGGAGTGCGGTAATTCTTTTTGTAGTACGCTTTGGGAGATGTTCATCACACACTTGTTGTATTGTTAATAGAATGTCTTTCGTAATATTTTGGAGGGTCTCTCTACTTACAGCATGTCTTATTGGATTAACGAAAGGTGTTAGTCTGTTACTAACAATAGAAGTGAAAGTGCGGACCTTCCGCCCTGGTAGGTTGTATCTTTGGATGATGTTAGTTGCAGTGCTGCTTGCTATACTATAGCGTATATAGTTATGATCCGATAGACTCTGTCCCTCAACTACTGTCCAATCACGTATTAAATTTGCCATTTGATGACTAGTAACTGTGAGGTCTGGCCAACCACGAGAGTGGAGCCTATCAAAGGTCGGCGGCGCATCTATTTGATTATGAATTACAAAGTTGTTGCTTGAGAAAAAGTCTTCGAAATGACGCCCTTTAGGTGTCGTATCAGCGTAGCCCCATGTGGTGCTATGGGCATTATAATCGCCAGCAAGGAGCATTTTTGCTATACGATGAGATTGCATTAGCTGTTGGATGCGTATTATGGTATGGTCCGCTTCTTCTGTAGGAGGGGAGTAGATGGATACTAACGCTATTGTCTGATTAAGTATTTCCAGTAAGACAGCCACAAAATCCCTCTCTAAAGCAAGCACAATCGGTGTCCATGCCTGGTTGCAGATTGTAATAAAAGCTCGAGGCGGTTGTGTTGAATCCTCTTTTTGAAATGTTGTCCATTGAAGCGGAAAACCCACAATTTTGCCGTGTCTGTGGTATGGTTCTTGACCAATTATTATATCAATCATTTCTTCTGTAGCGTAGTGTGCCGTTTGGGACATTGCGGCACGCGCTCGCTGAAGATTTATTTGCAAACATTTTATGGGTGTGTGTTGAGCTGATGATTTTAAGTTAATGACATTCAAGGAGGTAATGGGGTTTGTTGTTTGCGGACTTGCAGAAGTATTACAGAAAGATATCTCTCTTATTTCTCTAATATTCTGTTGTTCGTCGGATTGTATCGACTGCCCGTTGGTAGATAGCACATTCGGTTGCATAGGCTGGATGTTGGAAGTTGAGTCGTGTTCCGAATCTGCAGTTTGAATCTCCACAATTGATACAGGAGGGATGTTCTGCTGTACATTCTTTAGTTGCATGTGAGCCGGAACAGAAGCCACAGAAGATCTTATCGGATTTGCACATGTCTTGGCTGTGCCCAAATTTTTGGCAGCGATAGCATCTCTTAACACCAAAGAATTCTGTGATTCCGTGAGATTGCCAGGCTGTAAAAATACGCCTGGTATTAATGGCTGCTGCGAAACCTTCGGTCGTGCATTCAATGACCCACTTAACTCTTTTAGGACGTCTTTCTCGTAATCGGAAGAGTGGCTTGTATTGGTGGGCCGATGTTCCTGATGTTGAACTAAGTTCTGAGATGAGCTCTTCTGGTTTTGTGCTGTCTGGGACATTATGTATAGCTATCCTAGGGCGTCGTCGTTGTCGTTTTTTGACCTCTACGTCTATGTCTGCTTTTTGCAGATGTTCTTGTAGTTGATTAATCTCGTCTGAAGTTTGGCAAAATACCTCCAATCCTCCTTGTGGAGTTGGCTGAATTTTTTGGACAGTAATTGGTATTTCTGCCAAGGGAACTTTATTTTGTAGTTCTCTTCTGAGTTCTTCAGTAGGTTTTTTTTTAGACTTTGATTTGATCACTACGCTTGGTTTGCTGATATTTCGTAGAACCTCCGCAAAAGTCGGTTGTGAGACAGTTGGCAAGGATGGTGGTACCTGCAAATTGTGTGACTGTTGGGCAGGGGCAGAGAAAGACTGAGGATGAACCAATTCACAGCAAAGCACAGTTGAAGTATTTACTCCTATATCGATCTTAGCAGGCTTGACTTAGCAGGCTGACTGACTATATCCGGACCCTCTAAGGGCCAGCGTCTGGAGTGCGGCCAGGGAGTCTAAGAGTCTAGCACGAAGATCTGTTGGCAGTAGGTATTTAGTGCGTTTATTTGTTGTTGCGACCTGCCTTATATCATCGCACAAAGTAGAAATCTTTTCTGCGTAGGGCAGATCAGAGGCCAGTAGCTTTGAAGCGTCTAATATATTTGTGAGTGTGTAGGATCACCATCAGTTGGAAGCACTGATTGACGGGACATACTTTGAAAGATTTATCCTTAATATGCAATTGACACTATTGCAGTGAGACACTTAGTTAGAATGTTTGACAAAGGTTTTCTTACTAAAGGTAAAGTATGTGAGCAGAAGGTATATCCCTTTACACCCAGGACCAAGGAATTACAGTAAATAAAACATACATATGAAATTAAAACAGAAACATTACAAGAAAAACCGTAAATAAAACTTAAAGTAAACTGTAAAACATTATGACTTAAAAAGTGCTATAACTAATAAAACTTTAGTTACGAAGCTAGTTAAAAAGCAGTAAAAAACAGATAATTAAAACATTACAGTATGCAAAATGAAAGTATACAGTGTACAAAATACAATTTCTCACAAAAAACACACTGAACCCTCATATAAAGAGCTTTTAACAGTAATTAGTAGGACTGTCGAAATGTAGTAAGAAGTCGTCGAAATGTCCCTCGACGTCGAAACGTATCTCGATTGAAATACAATAGAGTCGTTCAAAAATAAGACTCTTAATTACTGCTTTTGTATAGGTACAATGAGGTCCTAACCTGAAGGACCGACACTTGGCGCTTCAAAATAATTTAGAGAAATCGTAAAGACATGAACTCAACTGGGATGATTTTGAAAGAGACGATATTATAAGTTGGCACAAAATGTTATTAGGCTGACCAATCTATTTTTGAAAAATATTGCAATTAGAGGGTTGAGATTCAAATAAAAAGGTAAACATACCTTTGATATGAAGATCCTGTAATGCTAGGTGCAGTAGATCCTGAGATATTGAATTTTTAAAAACAATTCACCAATTTTGGACTTATAAAAACCTATCCCAATTTGCTATGCCTACTATGGGAACCACGTGGCAGGCAGGCGGAAACCCTACCGTCGGAGCTGCGGCATACACACACCGTACTTTGTGGCAGCCTAGATTTCTTTGTTATTCACACAAAAACACTTTTTTCTTAGGAAATACCAATCACACACACTTATTCAATACAGCAATCGATGCAGTAGATATTCACGCACAAATTGATATAAAATTGTCCCCTGGGACTTAGACTTCCGCTGAAAAATGAGAATAATCCAGGAGCGCGACGAAACGACGTCCTACCTTGGTGATGGTTCTGCCGACTCTGGCAGTGGCACTATGATGCTCATGTTGTTGGTTTGGGCACTTGGCTGCTGTTACTTGTCCATGATACCTATGTGGGATAGAACCCATAATTGGTGTGGGCGCACGTTCTCTGGGACTGTAAATAATAAGTTTTGAATCTGTCGAACTAAAGAATTCCTGCAGCGGTTGCCATCTATTTGGTGGCTGAATCGGAATACATAGAACCCGGCTTTGGCAGGGAGGTGGCATATTTAACTGCTTCCTTCAGGGCCGTGAGCTCTGCCTGAAAAGTAGAATGAAGCCAATTTCATTTCCATTCTTCTATAGACTGTACAGTTGTTGAGTTTACTAAACTCACTTCTCCTATCACTGTCCATCTTGGAATCATCTATAAAAATTCCTTTTAGGTAAGGCTTCAGAGGTGTAAGCGTGAAATAGTTGACTGTATTGTAATAAGCAGGATGAAAGGACGATGAAGTGAACCTGTCTGAAACCGGCAGCTCATAAAATTATTCCTTTAAATTTATGTCATTTTAGAAACTTAAATGTAAAAACCTTTTTAACGGATTTTACATGACTTAAGCTTTGCCTTTGTTCAATTTATTGCATCTAATTCTACGTAGGCTTATTTGAAAAAAATTCGCAAAATATCAGTTTCAATGCAATAAAATTATAAATATAAATAGATACACGTATGTGACTCGGTTTCTACGGGATTAGTTGACAGAAGAAAAGAATATTCGTTACTAGAATTATTCAACCCTCTGACTGGTCTCTCTCTCTCTCTCTCTCTCTATATATATATATATATATATATGTATATATATACACGGCCCAGAATATTTTTACGACATATTTAAGAAAGTATAAGTAGATGCATCTTGAAATATCAAGAAATTAAGGCAATCTCTTAAAAATCCATAAATCCAGGTAAAATACCAGGGGCCATATAATACCATAATATACCATAATATAAAGTACCAGGGGCATTGTAGCATAAAAATCAAGAAAATACCTCTTTCTCATTGAAATTTTGCGAAATATGGGCTTTCATATTGAAACCCCATACCGATCAGAGGGCTTTAATTGAACTATTTGTGATGTACACCGATATAGTTATTTACAATAAAGTATTAACAGATGAAAAATGACAATGAAAGTACTACGTCGGTGCGTTATCTTCATACTTACACAGCGTCTTTGTTCTTAATCGAAGAGTGCACTCACCTACTGTCCCGTCAACCTCTTGCCTCGTTCTCTCTATGAAGTCGTGTTTTCTGTCGCACTCCTGACACGCATACTGTATACACACTTGCTTTCTAGGGGATTGGTAGGCAGAAGACACGGATATATGTTACTAGATTTATAAGGTATTTTCGCCCTCCTTTCCTCAAGCCTTCGTGGTGTAATTGGAAGCATACTTGAAGCGTATTCGGAAGGTCCAGGGTCCGAGTCCCGATTTGAACACTGCGCATTTTCATGTGTCCTTTTTCAAAATAAACTAACGACTCTTCAGATTATTTGGTTGAAATATTTGTGATCTAAACAGATGGCTATTGTTATTTACAATAATGTATTAGCAGATGAGAAGCGACAATCGAGGTAGTACGTCGTTGCGTTATCGTCATACTTTCACAGCATATTTCTTGCTAATGGAAGCGCGCACTCATCTTCTATCCCGTCAAACACTTGACTCGCTCTCTCTGTCCAGTCGTACTCTTGATACGTAAATACATTATTTAGCATTGTATAAATCTTAAACACTTAACACCTTAAACTAATTTCTGAAAGCAATATCATTTCAGATAAAATAAATGAACCTGAATTAGATATTTTGGGAATGGGACTAGTAGCCGCGGTAGTTTCGCCGTCAAGACATATTTTTCTTTACATGACTGTATTATATCTTGACGTATTATATTAAGATTATTTAGTTTATTTTCTGTTTACCTATTGTATATTTAAAAAGATATTTTTCTTTATATGCCCATATTATATCTTGCCATATTATATTATTAAGTTTATTTAATTTAATAATTTTGTTTACCTATTGTATACCTCTGGCTTTCTTAATTGCAAAAAAAAAAAAAAAATCTTCTGCAATTTCTTGCAAGTACTTCAAACAAATCGCATAAAACAACTTTCTAAATTTTTCTCATTTAAAGAACCAGATAGTTTGTTAACATTTACAGTTTAGCAAATTCCTCACATTGTAAGCTTTTGAATAATATATACAATGTTTCTGTGTACAATTTTATACCCAAATACATCGTTATGCATGACATATTAATTTTAAGAGACAACAAGAGTGTTGTCTCTTTGTTGAGAGTTGTCTCAAGAGTGTTGTCTCTCTCAAGAGATTTTAAGAGAGTGCTGACAAGATTCCAATTTCAATTCAGATTTCATAATAATGTGAATTCCCTGCTTGCATGAGGGATTTCTCTGAACTCCTGATTATAATTTCAAGAAATTTTGACGAACCGTGTAAAATTGTACTTGCATCATTATAAAATCGGTAATAGAACTTCTGCTATATCAGCGGTTTAGCTCCAGTTCTCTTTGATTACACAT